TCCCCCCCCCCCCCCCAATAAAGTATCAGTTAGTGTAAGATATCCATTTTGGTTCTAGGCACAGGAAGAGTTAATGCAGAAACACAGTCCAGGAATATCCGCCAAACAGACATTTTGCAGTCTACTAATAGGTCAGTACAGCTCCCTCCATTTTCTCCCCTCCTGCTTCTGCTGTTTGTACTTCCTGGGCTGACCTAGGACTAGGTTGGCTCTGTAAAGACAAAATACACTTTGCATTCAAAAGAAGTTGCCTCCAACTGGGAGCATCTACACATGCAATTAGCATGTAGCAATAAATTCCAGCACAGTTTGCACTGGAGTTTTTCTCCTAGGTGCAACTTTTTATGTTTGTGCCAGGACCGCAGCACATTGAGTCAGGGTAGAGCAGACCGAGGCTGGCAGAGGGCCCCAAGAGATCATCTTGCTAGCCCAGGGCTTCTCGGACCTGGCTCAACATGTTGCAGAAGGCCTGACTGGCTCACAACGTAGGCCCCATAATGTAGCATCCTTGTGCTCCAGTCAGCCCCAATCACCATCTATACATGCATTTTGGTGCATGTAACTACTACACTGTAGGATAGTACTTCTCCTGGACAGTACAGTGGAGTTAGTTAATTTACTGTGCTCTAATACTGTGCATGTGTAAGTGGTGGCCCTTTATGGCACCACTAATTAGCTCTGCAGTAAAGTACATGTGTAGATAGGCCCACTATCAATTAAAGTTTAGTAGATACACTAACAATATCTTTTCATAGAAATAGAGCAGATGTGAAAAACTCCTTATGTTCAAGTAATTTTCAATTTGAAATGGAATATTGCAGCTATAGCTTTGGCTTATTCATATATTTTCCCTTTTTTATATTGTTTAATTTTTGGTTAGGCCCTCAGGCAATGTGAAATGCCACATGCTGATTTAGAGTAGTTGATGAACTGGTCCACTAAGTACTACTGGAGATGTTTGCTCCGGTTGCAAGTACTTTTGAAAATTGTTTCAGTGAGAAACATAAAGAATGCTGTAAAAGGAAAGGCTAGAAGGAGACAAGGATCATCAAGATCAAATTAAAGAGAAGCTGGAGGGAGAGGTAAAAAGTAAGTAGCATAAAGACAAACTCTCAGTCCCTAAGTCTAGTCTCCTCCTCTACGCACATAGCTAGAGAAGGCAGAATTCCAAAGTAACTTTCTCTGAAGTTCTGGAGTCAGCAGTGCCAGCCAGGGCTAGTAGCAATAAATCTAAACTCTATTTCATTACTAGAGAAATAGCAGCAGCATAAGATACCATTAGAGAATTGTACTCATAGTTGTCTCTGGGTCTGACCCTAGGGCCACAGGCTCACAGTAACTTCCTCTAAGTCTTTAATAGGGGAGAGAGGGCAGTAGACTGGGATAGTAAATCTGAAATTTCTGCAACTACCAAAGAAACATGGGAAGTAGCAGCAGGAGTAGCAACTCCTCCATCAATGACAGAACAGAACCAGATCTCATAAAAGAATCATAGCTGTGTTCAGGTGTGGTAACTGGACTTATTTCAGACTTATTTCCTGGGGCATGAATCATCTCTAACAATGAACAGTACAGCAATTTAATTATTTTAAAAATAATGCTGAGCCTTCAGGGGCAAGTCCAAGAAGTGAGAGCTGTGATATTAGTATGGCTGCAGGATGCGTTGGCAAAGTTATGAATGAATAGTATATTAATTGATACAAGAGCACTACAGAGACAACAGGAGAACTTTGTCCTGATGTCATACTAATTTTGTGGTACAACAATAAAGATATTGCACTAAGAGGATTGCTATTGTTTGGTTATGATCATTTAAGCACATTTTTCTTAGCTGTTCTGGCTGACCCCTTAGTATTCTTTGAAGCATTGCAGGTATCACCTATGTCCTTCTTAATCCCATGTTCCCTTTATCAGTAAAATAGGTTTAAATATTCAAGGACATGGGGAATGGCTGCTAGAGTTGCCAAACCCATCATTATTTAGGAAGTCTCAGACCTATCCTCATAAAGTACTTTTGATTTTCTTGAATATGAAATGCACTCTAGTATAGAATTTGAAGATCTCTTCTTTTATGTGAAAATGACTGAGTAACCTAATCTAGAAGCTAACAGGAATCCTTTCTATCATGGTTAGCTACCAAAAATAATATCTACCTAACCCCCACCCCTCAAAAATAAAATGCATCACACCATCATAGCAGTCCAGTTAACGGTTCCAACACAAATAAATATGCATATTAATCAAATAGAGATTGTAAATTAGGTCATTGTTTGCTTTTAGGAAATTAATCTGAATCTTGGTTATGCCAGAACATGTAGTATAGCAATGAACAATGATACTGAAGGAAATTATTTTAACTTTTTTCCCAGTACTAATAGATTCAAACAAATAAAGTAGTAAACAAGCCTGTAGGACAAGCAAACTTTTATTTCCATTTTTTCTCAGCATTGGGAAAAACTGCTGTCCTGGAGCTTATCTGCAAAAACAGATTACGTCCTTTCTTGTTGTTTGGTTCTACTCATTTAGAGACTTATTTCTACTTCTCCTCTTGTCTATCTACATTAATTAAATAGTTGTTGACTTTTTTTTAGCTAAAGCAAGACCTGCTTAGTCCAGAAACACAGGATCCAATGTCATGTTTTGATATATGAAAGACAAACACTCTGGCTAACAGGTACTTAAATTCCTTGCAGAAGGGAACTATGCCTTCATTTTTCTTCTGATTTTTTTTTTTTAATTTTTTAAGCATTTTCCTTTAGAAAATGTGCAGTGACATGGATCATTTTGGTCAACTAAAATATGTGCAACAGAATGGCTAAATTCTATTAATTTATAAAATTAATAAGTTTGGGGCGGAAGGAGTTTATTGTTCTTCAAATAAAAAGAAATCACTTTAACAAGATGAAACTAGGAATACAGAAAGTTCTGTGAGTCTGGGCATAATCTTTTAGAAAAATATTAGTCACTGAACATTCTGTAAAATGACAAATGGTCCATCGGGTAGATGGAAGTTTATTATTTACACTGTCTGCACTTGCTCCCCTCCATTTAAAAGTACATATATGTCTGAGAGAGAGTCTGTATACTAAAGTATTTCTGAAAGGGTTAATATTTAAACTGTTGCCACTGTTCTTTGGCAGGTCATTATGACTAAGCCATTCATTGTTTAAGGAAGACAAACAATTTGCCTTGTTGCTAGTGTTAATTTTAATGAGTAGATGGAAAATGTGAGACCCTGGAGCTGGTGTGTTCAGGTACAAAGGAAAGGCATTTTAAAAGGGGGAAGTGTAGTTAGGGGAGATGGATTTATCCATCTGTCAAGAGAGAAACATTTGGGGAAAAAGAGAGAGAGGAGAAACTAAATGTTGACCTGGGCTTAGTGGGAAGAGAGAAGAAAGGGTGGCAGGAGCTAATAGACAGGACCTCAAAGGAATGGGCCTGTGAGTCTGTTCTGGAGTAGGGTAAAGCATGAATGCATCACAAGTACAGAAAATGAGACAAGGGATCAAAAGAAAAATTACAAGGTTAACTTAACAAAACCTGGAGTTGGGTCAGTGAGGCAGGAGTAACTTTGTGTGTGAAATCCTTCAAAAGGATAAAGGAATAGATATGAACCCAAAGTCAGATTTATGCCCTTGTGAAATGCTGTATTTATTGTGAAAGACTAAGAGGTATCATAGAATCTTTGTGGATAGAAACTCCAGGTTTCAATAGAAAAAATGTATGTCTAGGGATATATTGTCGACCCATAGACCAGGATGGCAGCAGTGAGCTAGAAATGCTAAGGGAGTTGAGATAGGTTGCAACAGCAGAAAACAGAAACTATCCACAAATAGACTGGGCCGATCTAAGATCAGGCTGGGATGCAGAGACCAAATGTCTTGATGTTATAAAAGACTGTTTCCTGGAGCAGTTAGTCTTGGAATCTTCAAGGGGAAATCCATTCTTGATCTAGTCCCTAAGTACTTGGGATTGCCAAGGATTTGGTGCAAAGGGTAAGTGTAACTGAGCCACTTGGCAATAGTGACCAGAATACAATTAGTTTTGAAATCCAGGTAGGAGGGGAGACAAGAAAAATCTATTACAGTAGCTTTTAACTTCAAAAAGGGAGACTACACTAAAATGAGGAAGCTAGTTAGACAGAAGTTGAAAAGGGGCCCTAAGGAGGTGAGAAACTTGCAAGCAGCATAGGGACTGCTTAAGAACACCATATTGGAGGCACAAAACAAATGTACACTACAAATTAAAAAAAATGGAAAGCGAAATGGAAAGCAGACCAAAATAAACCAGCATGATTTAATGGCAGAGTTGCAAATGCAATAAGCAGAAAAAAGGCTTCTTTCAAAAAGCTTGTCCAAAAACTCTCTCAACTATACAATTGATCCAATAAACAATATCATAAATATCCTTGTCATCAAATTATTTATCCCTTTCAATACCATTTAGGATTGCTATATTTTATTTCAATAAATAATGTGATGTATCATCAATATAACTTTTTATAGGTTTTCAAGACGTTTAAAGCATGATTGGTAAAGAAGTTAGAACACAATGTAATGGGAAACACCTCTCCCATTACTGGGTGGAGTGATTAAGTGAGGAAAAGAGCAGAGTGCACCTGTAAAGGAAGACTGCTGCAGGCTGGAAAGAGCGACCTTTGGAGTTATGTAAGCCTAGCTTCAGAGAAGAGTAGGGCAGTCAGGCCCTGGCAGAGCTGAGGGAAGCAGCTCCCTACTATAAGCTGATGCAGTTAAACTACAAACTGTGAATAGACCTAAGAGGGCTGGAATTAGGATAAACACCAGTGGAGAATGAATAGAAGCCTGGGGAGGGCCTGGGGAAAAGACACCCCAGTGGGAATCATTTGTTTGTGAGTTTGATTATTTTTGCAAGTAGACTTCTGGCTGCAGGAGGAGCCTTGCTGTGAGGCATGGGGCAGCCGGGTGGAGGGGATGAGAGCTCCTGAGGGTGCCGAGTGTTCTGTTCTGTTTGGGGGCATTTGGAACCAAGCCACACGGAACTGATGAGGAGGCCATGAGCCCTGTGGAACTTCTGGTGAAACAGACTAACCTGAGAGACATGGGTGGATTTTGCTGATAAGTCTGTAGGACTGGTAGTGGTCAGAGCTGTGTCCACTAACATTGTCATAATGCAGGCAGCTCAATGAGTGATGTGATCAATGAAAGAGAAGCACTTAAAGTAGTCCCCTACTGAACTGAAGGCCTACTCCTGTTTAATTATCAACATTAAGGCAAAGCTTGTGAGTAATGTCCAGGTCATTGGGATGTTGGCAGGGCAAGGAGGAGAGGACTACCCACCAAGGGGCAGCAGACAACAGCAGACTAACCCAGGGCCTGCTACAACAATAAATGGTAAGCAGCTATAGTCTCACTGAGCTTTTCAATATCCCAAATTGCAAATTATCAAGAAAAATGAATTACTACTTCTCAGGTTACTTTTCTATCAACCTAAGAAGTTTTGACAGGGTTTACTGGCAGGAAAATAGAAAAGGAGAATGTATTAATAAACTAAACAATTATTCTCATATTTTGAGAATATTAACTTTTGAGGTTATTATATCCTTGTGTAACAAAGTTAATTCTGGTGTTTCATAGATATATTTTTCTATTGTTGCAGATAAGGAAGGTTGTAGATCTTTGCATTTCATATTTTTTCCAGTTCTGTGATAAGGCAAAATGAAAGTGTGTATCCCTCTTCCCCCCAGTGCAATTTGGTAACCATAACATCCTTTGATTTAGCAAAACTAATAATGGTTTATTGCAGTGCTGTGCAAGAGAAAGAACAAGGAGAAGCAAAAGTTAAAGGGTAAATCCAGCATTATATTTGTGAGAATGGGTAGGAAAAAAATCAGGATATAGCAATGAAGAGTAGATACAGAAAAAGCTGGCATGCATTGACTGCTTTCATCAATTGATATTGAAATTGAGTTGTGAATATAATGCTCAGACTAAATATTTGCTACATTTTCCTGAATGCTAGTATTATCAGCATACTCTTTAGAATTCTAGTAAGTTCAAATTTTCTTACAGAGTGATACACAACTGGTAACATGCTAAACCAGACAGGTAGGTCACTATTTTTAATTGTTTGTGCAAAAAAATTGCTTTAAAGAAATGATTAGTGAAGTTATCTTTATATTATTGGCAATCTTTCTATCCCTTCTTTTGGCTGCACCACTGCCATTTCAGCAACTGCCACTGCTTCTTTTGTTGCTAAAATAATAAATTAATATGATGAATAGTCTAGCTTTGGATAAGTTTACTGCTACTATTGAGAAGCTTCCTTGCTTTTATTACCTATGCAGACACTAACAGTGTATCTTGCTAACCTCTCATTATGATCAAGAGAGAAACATTGGTGGGAAAAATGTATTCCTATTTCATTCTGTCCTCCACCTACATTTTTTTTTGTTTCTCTGTTGTTTGTTGGATAGTATAGAGATAAACACGATATAAATACCCAGACAGACAGTGACCAATGGAGCATATACAAAACTTTACAAGTTAGTACAGGGTGTGCACTCTTGTAAATTCAGTCAGTGGAGAGGAGAATAATCGAGTTTGATATCTGAGGTACTGAAATAATGGTATATTAGGTCCTTGAACCAGGGGAAAAGAAACCAACCCAATGAGCACTGAAATTTAAATTAAGCAGAGATTGACTTTACTGGGACAAACATCAAGTTTTACTGACTGAAGAGACAAATATTGACTGAAGTGCCCTAACCAAATTCAGATCCCCCCCCCCCTTTGAAATAGCATCCTTTCTTTTCCCAAGACCCATCAATGAAAACAGAATCTTGGCCACTGCTTCTCTGATCTCCTGCTTTTGCCAAGCTGGCACATTTTCCAAGTGACTGTTATAAAAATTGGAGACAAAAGAAATGATTGTGACTTTTTAAATCAATAAAACCTATGGCCATGTCCAAATTAGTACAGATGTTTGGTTCCCTGGGGACAAGTAGGAGTGTCACAAGTTACCCTTTGTCATGTGGCAGGTTACCCCAGGTGGGGTAAGGGAGGCTGGGGCCAGCAACTGTGCTGGCCCCAGTAGCCTTACCTAGAGTCATGGGGGCTGTGGAAACTGCAGCAGTGGCTCTCCAGGAGTTTGGAGCCTGGTGGCAGCTGGAGCATGACTCCAGTGGACCAGGCTCCAGTTTTGGGGAGCGTGCAGTGCAGCCATGTGCACCACCTTGCTTTTTTTCCATGTGGGTTTTTTGACCCCAAGATCTCGCAGGATCAGTCCCCTCCCCATGCTGCAAAGGTAGCAGTGCAGGAAATGCCTAAATGTGTTGTGTGTGGTGCTTGTCTGGATGTGGCCTACATGGTGAAATGGTTACAAAAGAACAAAATCAAGATATTTTGTAAATCACAACAATGTTTATAAAATAATAATAAAAAGCCTTCCTAATATAGCCAGAAACCACAATGACAGCAGATGATGGAATGACATGATTAAAGAACCCAATTCTGCAAGCTGTCACTGGGAATTTATATGCAAGAGGTTTTCCAGAATGACCTCAACAAAACAGTAAACTTTTCTCTTTAAAAATGTTAATAGACTTTATGGAGAAGAACGAGAATGCCAGTACTGGAAACAGAACTCTTATATGTAACAGGAGACAAATTACAGCAGATGAAACAATGGTGCAAGTTATCACATGTAGGCATCCTGTCATCTAGTCTCACCCTAATATAGATGCAGCTCCTACAAACATAAGGAGATAGTTCAGTCTCCTACTGATTTATCATTACCGTGTCTCTTGAGAATCTGAGAAACAGGCAGATGAAAACCAATTGAGACTTTTTTTTTCTGATAAGGTATACGTTGTTTTAATTTATGATGCATTAACTTAGATCTCACATCCTTTTATGAGTTAATTTACAGAAAAAAAAACAAACCTGACTTTATTTTCCTAAAACATAAGGGAGATTATTGCTCTATATCAGACCAGATACTAACTGGTGGCAACTGGTATCTGTAGTTGCACCAGCTAAGGACATCTCTTTGGATTTTTTACCATGCATTTTAACCTTTCAACACTTATACTGTTTTTTGTATTATATTATCAGTGAGGATTTTTAACTTAAGGGAATGTTAAGCATAGCAACAGTAATTTTATAATATTTGCTAGGAGATGCCCAGTGGCGATGCATAGGGGGTGAACAGGGGTGCATGTGCACCCTCTGAGAGTGCTGATGCACCCTGTCAACCAGCTTTCCTGGGGGGGGACAGGTGAGAGCATTGGTGCCTCCCTGAGAGCCCTGCCGGGGAGTTGGGGCTCACCTGGAAGTGATAGCACTCTCCCAGAAATGTCAGCCAGGCACCTGGAAGTGACAGCGGTGCACCACTGCCACTTGTGGGTTGGCAGGATTGGCTGTGGGTGAACCCCTGCCCCCGGTCAATGACTGGGCACTGGGCGGGCAAGTGTCCCCCCTGACTCAAGAGGCAACAGTCGCCCATGGAGATGTCACTAGAATGTGTTCTTTGAAAAAGTTGCAGTGACTGCTAAAATATCTGGACTGTCAATCTATTCTTACTGAAAGTTTGTTTTGACAGAAAAAAGACATTTACTTTCCAAATATTACATCAGGTTTCTTTCACAGGTTTTTCATCAGAAGACCCACAATTACAAAGCAACGTTCTTCTATGCTGTAGTCATCCCTGGCATGAAAGCCATAGCAAAACTTTTCATTTAATGTCATTTTGTCAAAAGTGCTTTCTTCATCAGGAAAAAAAAAGCCTCTCTTTATGTTTCCTCAAAGAGCACCTAATCCAATTTCTCTGCTTGCCACTTGCTGTTGTTGTGATATAATTATTGATTAAGAATGGTGATATCTTGCCTGAATGTGTCTTTTTTTTTTTTCTGGAAGAGGTTTCTGAGAGAATACAGTTTTGACAACAGGAAGAAATCGCATTCTAAAACCTCTCACTTAAATGTCCAATAACTCTTTTCTTCACAGCTTTTCTATTTATTTGTCACATTAAAACCTCCAGAATTCATAACATTACTGCTGTAAACTACAGGACTGCAATAACAAAAGTGAGTCAGAGTATGGACTCCTGTAGTGCACCAACTTAAAAGAAACATAATGAAAAGAGTAATAATTCTAGAAGAATCAGAATGTCCTAAAAATATTCAGTTTTTAATGCAGAAAGTGACACCTGAGCCATTGTTATACATGTATGAAGTGATATACTGGAGAAGACTCCTATAAGCCCTTAGTTAAAATTCCTCCACCTCAAGGTAAGGAGTGGGATGGCTTCCTTGTGTCTGGAATTGACAGTCCCTACACCCTATTATTTTAACTCTTTTTTGCCAAAGATGGTGCAACTGGAGAACTCATTAAATATTTCTGAGGAAATAGTCCAGATTGAACCAAATGGTTGGGGTGCCTGCCACTTTAACAGGTCAGGTAGCCTCTGGCAGATGCAGGACAGAGCTGATTAGGAGTCAGCTAACCTAGGGAGCTGCCAGGTGAGGGAGTCACCTAACTCAGGAGAACTGGACTTAGAGCAAGTATAAGCCCAGGTCCTGAGAGAGCCCAGTAGTAATGGGTTGGACCTTGCTAAGTGAACTTCACCTCAGCAGGAGGACTGCAGCTCTGGAGCACCATCTCAGAGAGGGCAGCTGAAGCACTCTGGAGGTTTGGGTAGGAACTAAGGGCCTGGAGGAGGTTTCTAGGGACCCAGGCTGGGGCCTGGCTGAGCCCAGAAAGAATACTTAGAACATAAGAGCTATTTTGAGGCCTGGGGGAGCCCAGATTGAGAGGCTCAGCATAGAAGACTGATTGTGGGGTCCAGGTGAAGCTCAGAGAAAGGGGCTCAGTGTATAAGATCTATTATGGGGCTTAGGTCAGCCCAGAAACTGAGGCTGAGAGCTTAAGAGATCTGCTGAGTAGCCTGAGAGAGTGGACCTGTGAGTGAGTGAGTGAATGAGGGTGGAGAACTGGTGAAGTAGGCTGGAGAACTTATCCCTATAGAATTTCACTGCTCTGCTGGCAGGTCTAAGGCCTAGAGAGGGGCTGAAGGCCAGAGGTGGCCACAGCAGGAGACTGGCAGAGCCAGAGAGGGGCCTGGAGTTGCAAAAGGGCCCAAGGCAGTGCCACGGCCTAAGAGAAATCAAGGTGGGGAAGGACCATCACCAGAAAGGAAGGGGAATCAGGGGCCCCCAGACCAAAATGAAAAATGGCTAAGTCAGAGCTATCTGAAGAGTAGGAGGGCCCAAAAGACAAGGTGGTGAAGAGAGCAACCAGGTTAATCTTGCTGGCCTGCTAATGGGACCAGGGCCCAGAGAGGGCCTGAAGGCTGGGGGCAGCCATAGTGGGAGACTGCCAGAGCCAGAGGGGGCCCAGAGTTCTTGATTGCCCAGAAGCGGGGCCAGGGCCTGGGAGAGGCAGAAGGTACAGCTGTGGCCAGAGCCAGAGAGCAAGAGGTCAGAGAAACTGAGGCCCAGAATGAAGATTGATAGGACAGAGCCATAAGATGTAGAGGAGGGTCCAAGACAGTACTGACAACAGGGGGCCCAGAGATTGGAGAGCCTGGGCCAGAAATAGCCTGGAGGAAAGAGATAGCTGAATTCAGAAGGGGGCTGTATGAGAGCCAGTGAGATCAGGACTCAGAGGGAGCCTTTAGACCAAACCCCTGAGGTAATTTGGGAAGCGCAAGACCTGGAGGTAGCAACAGGGGAGGCGCTGTCATACTTCCTGAGAAATCAGGCCAATAAACTAGTTACTTCAGGTGCCTGTTCACAAATGCATGGAACCTGGGAAACAAGCAGGAAGAATTGGAAGTCCTTGCAGAGTCATGGAACTATGATGTGACTGGAATAATAGAGACTTGGTGGGATAACTCATAGGACTGGAGCACTGCCATGGATGGGTACAAACTATTCAGGAAGGGCATGCAGGGGAGAAGAGGAGGAGGAGGTGTTGCACTTTAGGTAAAAGAACCATATGATTACTCAGAGCTCCAGTATGAAACTGGAAATAGACCTGTTGAAAGTTTCTGGGTTGGAGTCAGAGGGGAAAGCAACAAGGGTGATGTCATGGTGGGGGTCTGCTATTGACCTCCAGACCAGAAGGAAGTGGTGGATGAGGCTTTCTTCAAACAGCTAGAGGAAGTTTCCTGATCACAAGCCCTGGTACTTACTGGGGATTTCAAATGACCTGACAACTGCTGGCAATGCAGCGGTGTGCAGGTAATCTAGGACAGAAACTCATGGACTCACTATAGATTAGGCAGTGGAATTCTGACACACTACAACCTGCTGGCCATCTGACTCCCCAGGTACCTCTGCACTTTTACCTGTGCTGCTACATCCCCCTCCCACTCCCACCCCTCAGCCTATCTCTCACCCCCTGATGCCTCCATTACCATTTTCCCTGACTGTCTTTCTTGCCTGCATTGTGTGCCAGGCCAGCCTTTGGATTCTTTACTATTCCTCCCATCCAGGACCAGGAGACACCAACCGCAGGTGCTTCCTCAGCCTGACAAGGTTTTTCACTCCAAAAGCTGGCATCCCAGACAGCTAAACTGAGCTTATTTGGAGCCTCACAACTCCACTACAACCAGCAAGCATGAGGCCTGTCAAGGACATGACTGGTCTGGTCTTTCCCCAGCCAGGACTGTGTGCATGCATGCATTAGCTAGAGATTATGGCACCTCCTACCTGCTTTTCACCAGGGGATCATTGGTTCTGGCATTTACAGGGCTGCCATGCCACCAGCAGTCCCACCAGGCCTCCCTACCCTGGCAGGGTGCAGTTTTAGTGGACATGCCCAGGACCTGGGGCTTCCTTCTTTCCCATAGCCCCAGCCCATACCCCTGAGTTCATCCTGGCATGGGAGCTCAGCAGGGACATGTTCTTCCTCTCCTGTCTGATGTTGCATTGAGTGTCCCCTCCAGCTCTGAGAGCAGAGCATTACATGGTTTAAAAAAACTTAAACAGAAATAGGTGCAGACAGAGTCAGGAGGGTGGCACTCAGTCCATCTGCAGGTGGAGCCTGGGGAACCCACCAGCTGCTCCACCAAACTAGGATTCAAGCAGGTGCAGTGGGGTATCACTACATCCCAAGCAATGCTGTACACCCTCTCACTTGGAACATTGGTTGGTGGACAGGACAGGTGTTCCTGGGCAACCATGGCCAGATCCAGCCACACCTGTTTGCGGTTTGCCCAGTAGACCAAGGTGTCACAGTCCAGTGGCTCCACATCCTCAGTGAGACAGGTAGTCGCTGAATCCTCGGTGCTACCTGCCCAAGCCTGGGGTCTGGTGCATCTGGACCCAAGCATTGAAGCCATGCCCTTGGCCCACATTGGCAGCAGCTGCCATGGAGGAGACTGGCTGGTGCTGTTACTGGTTGTGCTGGCATGGGAAAGTGGATCCCCCTCTTCCACATCCCCTCGCCTCTGCCCTTCTGCCTCCCTGACTCTGTTGACCAGCACCTGAGTCCAGTGATCAAGGGTTTTGGTGCTGCCAATACACATGCTTCCCTTAACCCTCAGGTTTCACATGCCCATCAGGATGTGGACTGTACTGGACTGCAAGGGATCCAGCTGTCTCCTAATGGCCTCCTTCAGCCACCTCACCAGTGCCTGCATATCTGGTGACAACGGCTTGCCCCAGCCAGGAACATTGATTCCCTGGAACTTCTCCATTAGGTTCTCAAGTTCTCTCACTATGGGGATTACCTGGCTAAGGAGGGCATCACCAGCACTGAGGGTCTTGGTGGCCTTGAGGAAGGGCTTGAGGACTACCAAGATCTGGGAGATGGTACCCCACTCAGCTCTGCTAAGGGGACCGCTGATCCTAATCTCCTTGAGCAAGGCTATCTCATGGATGGCCTTCTGTTGCTCCATCAGCCTTTTGAGCATCAGGTATGTGGAGTTTCACTGAGTCCCCACATCCTGCATGATTTTGTGCTGGGGGTTGCTCAGCTCTTAAGTGTTTCTCCCACAGCATCTTGCTCCCCTTGATGCTGCGGTTGAAGTAGCCCACCACCTTACTGCATTATGAAATCAGCTGGCTTGTAGTGGTGGCAGTGCCATCACCGGCAGCCCTGTCCCCCTCCAAGGCCTCCCTGACTATGAGGTGCAGCCTATGTGTCACACAGTGGATGCCAAGAAAGTTGATATCACGGACTGCCTTGACCATATTGGCACCATTGTGGGTGACGATGAACCCGTGGGTGAGTTCTTTCTGCCCAACAAGCCACCCCTGTACCATGCAGATCATGGCCACCATGTGGGACTTATCCACAACCTCAGCTTGAAGGAGATCCCACCGACAGTCTGACTGGTCACACCAGTGCCCTGTGAGGGAGATGTAGGTGTAATCACCACCCCAGCTGCTACAGATGTTGGAGGTGAAGTGCAAGGCTACCTGCAGCCCTGCCTTGTGCAGGTCCTCCCTCAAGTACTCCCTGCATGCCTCATACAGAGAGGGCACCATCACCTTGCTAAAGGTGGTGCATGTGGGCACTACATAAGATGGGGCCATGAGCACCATGAGCCACCTGAACCCTGGCCACTCAACTAAGGAGAAGGGCTGGCTATCCAGAGCAAGCATCTCCCTAATGCTCTGGGTGATCTCACTCACCCTTGCAACGCACTCCTCTCTGTCTGCAGTTTTCCCCCACTGCTCCATGGTGGCCTGCCTCTGCTTTGGGGGGATGGGGTCTTTGGAGAAAGTGGGGGACTTCCCTTTGGGCGCACACACACTGGTGCCAGGCTGAGGAGGAGGAAGGGCAAGGGGGTTTTGCCTCCTGAGATGCAACAGCATTGCC